CAGGCACAAGGTTTTGCTATGGGTAATCTCTTATCGCCCTTGCTAGCAGATTTCTTTTTGTACAACATAGAGAATATAATCTTCACCAATCTACCTTTAAACCAGGAGTGGCCAAACCACGGCACGCGTGACACGGCGGTGTCTTAGAAGTGGAACGCGAGGACTTTTTGGAAAAATAAAAAAAAATTAACTTAGTAAAAAATTAAAAATTCGTCTTTCATTCTACGCCACTCTTTTATTGTACGCCACTGCATCGCGCTAGACACATTCATCGTTTTGTCGATTGTCGATGCCCGATTGACTCAGTTCTCTCTCAGTTGATTCTCAACTTTTGTGCGAGACGCTTTAAGTCTGTTTGCCTTGTGAGATAGTGTTTTTACAGTTTATCTCCTTTTAAAACAATTGTTTTCGAAATGACCACGAGTAAGCCATCAACTTCAAAACGTAAATATGAGGACGATATCGCGATTTGTGAATTTAAAACTGAGTGGGAAGAACAATTCTTATTTACTCATCACAACACTTCCAAGCCTTGTTGTTTGATATGTGGAATATGTGCGGCAGTGCCAAAAAAATTTAATCTGGAGCGCCATTATAGGCAAGTTCATGGCGATTTCACCAATAATTATCCTGTCGGATCACGCCTACGAACCGAATTCATCGCCAAGAAAAAAAATCTTTAACCGGGCAACAATCTTTGTTCCAAAAAATAAGAAGACTTCATATGAACTCTCGCTGTTATTAGCACGCAAGAAAAAGCCATATTCCGACGGAGAAGAGGTAATTAAAAATAGTTTACTAATATTCGCTCAAAATGTCGTTGATTCAAACATAAAACATATGGTGGACCAAATCGCTTTGTCCAGAAACACTGTCATGCGCCGAATTGATGATATGGGCCAGGATGTTGAAACACAAATTATCGCCGAACTATGAGACTGCAAATATTTTTCACTGGCTTTAGATAAAAGCTGTGACATCACAGGTAATGCTCAGTTGAGCATATTTGTACGCTTCGTGACAGATAGTTTCGATGTTGTGGAGGAGCTATTAGATTTGCGTTAACTTAATTCAGATTTTAATGAAAAAAACTCACTCATTTTAAATCCATGAAGGAATCGGCCATCAAATTAAATAATGTTCCAAATTACGATAAGTTTAAAAATTTAATGTCAACTCTTCAAAGCTCATTTATTACGAGATTTCAGGATTTCCAGGAGGAAAATAAAAATATTCAACTTTTCACAAATCCTTTTTCCATTTCTCTTAAAGACGTTGAAAATTATCCGCCGGAATTACAAATGGAAATAATAGATTTGCAAAGTAATATTTTATTGAAAAATAAACATAACGAGCTTGTTTCGAGTACAAGTAATTCAAATTATATTGAATTTTGGAAATACGTTTTTACAGTAGATTTTCCATATCTTCAGAATTTTGCTTTGCGGTATTGTTGTTGTTTTAGTTCGACGTATGTTTGTGAAGAAATGTTTTCAATTATGAATGTTATTAAATATACAATATCGTTCAAAATTAACCAATAATCATTTGAAAAATCTAATTTTATTAGCTGTAACAAGAATTGACCCCAACATTCAAGATTTAATTAAGAAAATTCAGTTTCACAAGCCACATTAACCACATCAACCATAAACATGTACTGTACTACTAGTAAGCAACAATCTCTACTAGTTGAGAATTATATTTTTTTACTATTTAAAATAAAAAAGGTCGTAGAAAAAGTATAGTATTCTACTCGCATGTAATGGCTATTACTCACTCTGATGAATTACGACACTCGCTTTCGCTCGTGTCACAAACTGCATCATCGTGAGTAATAGCCATCATTACATGCTCGTGGAATAGTATACTATTGTAGCTACGTATATTTTTTGTTATTTCATACAAATTCCACCTACCTATTGAATTTTTTGTTAGAAAATTTTTGGTGGTACGACTAACTTTTCATAAACAGATAGTGGCAGACTGTTAAGAAAGTTTGGCCACTCCTGCTTTAAACCAAAATTACTTCCAAAAAATCTTATATTGGTTTGGATATGACGATGATGTGTTAACCATTATAGATGAAAACATTTCGGATGTAGAAAACATTCTAGATTCGCTTAACGACTTACATCCGACTTTTAGATTTACTTTAGAAACGGAGTCTAATAATTCTATTAATTTTCTAGATCTAAAATTAACCAGAATAGATGACAAATTCAATTTTTCAATTTTTTTGAAAACCTACTTAGACTGACCACACTATTCCGAAATCTTCTAATCATCCTTTTCAAGAGGTGATGGCTTCTTTTTATTGCTATATCTATAGACTACTTAACTTACCATTATCAGACACGAACTAGAAATCATTAACAACTTGCACGCAGTAATGGTAAAATAAATTAAGGAATAAAAGGAATAGATCTCTAGCTTACAACTCTGTTCCTGATAACTCTAATTCAGAAGTTTTGTGTAGATCAATATACATAGGTTATCCTTTAGATGGAAAAAATGTGAGACCGTTGGAAATACGGATAAAAGAACACTTGACTACGGTCGATAAATCTAGTTTTGGTTATTAAATATACGAGGCCAATCACACTTTCTGTCCCTAAAGAGATAGTTAGATCTTACATATGATACCTAGTAATAACCGAGGAAGAACGGTCCTTATAAAAGATCATATGGCGATCTGATCACACACATTCTCTCGAAACTTATATTTTAAACACCGTAACTTACAGTACTGCTTCTGCTAGTTTTCTTGCCACGAGATGTGTTCAAGAAGTGGCACATTTTCCACACAAGTGGCAAGCGATTTTCTCGACATATCTTATATCATTTTACAGGAGTTTCATGTCGACGACCTTCACACATGTAGTTCTACAATAGACAACATCGAAGGCATTAAATCACATACTTATGAATTATTGTCTCATAGTTTCCAATTGAGAAAATGGAAGTAAAACTTAATCCCTTGGAAATTGCAGCTGACAATACCATAAAAAATTGGGGCTTCTTGTGAGTCCAAAAAAATCTGACGCTTTTCATTTTTATATTTAGCCTAGAGAGCATAAATATAAAGTTGCAAAGAGACTTATTCTTTCCACTGTATCGAAAATATTTGATCACTTTAGTTTGCTTTCGGCTGTAGAACAGCTAAAATTATCCTCTAAGATTTGTGGAAATTAAAAATTTCTTAGGGAGAAGTCGTTTCCACGGATATCTTTACGAAATGGGTGTATATCAGACTCAACTCGTCATTTCCGACTTCGACCTTAATTAGATACTTCCTATGCGCGCCATTTGTACAAATTACAAGTTAATTCAACTCCATGGTTTTTCAGCTGCATACTCTACCGCATATAGATAGTGCTTTCATTTATATTCGTTCATCTGAAAACTTTAAAAATTTTCGTTGTTATCTACTTTGCTCCAAAACCAGAGTAGCTCCTTTAAATCACAACCTCACGGTACCGCGTCTAGGACTTTGTGTAGCTCTATTGCTCGCTGAGTTGATGGGTAAGATAAAACAACACATGAAATTATACTTCGAAGGAATTACTTACTGGTGCGACTCCAATATTGTACTAGGATGGATAAAGACTGCTCCGAATTTGTTAAAGACGTTTTTAGCAAATAGAGTTTTTCAAATTCAAATTTTGGTCATGGTCGGCCATCATGGCTATCTAGACCAGAAACTCATTGGCCTAATAAAACATCGGCCATTATCGGCTCTCATCACAAGTGTTCACATGAAATTGGACATTATCACTAAAATATTCTCATTTGTAAAACTACAACACATTATCGCTTATGTATTACGTTTTATAAAAAATGTAAATTTTCTCATAAACAAAGGAGCTTCGACAAAATTTCTTGCGAGGAAACAGACAATGCTTTAAAATATATAATTCGACTAGTACAAAATATAACACGTTTTTGTATTATTATACTACGTGAAGTTCTAATAATATTTACCTACAACCCCTAAAAGTGCTATGCAGCAGCCTTGTTTTAGACCCTTACCTTAAACATACCTTCCCCAACTCGTATACAAACTCAAGATATCTCTCAACCTGAAACTTTAAATGCTCTAAATACACGACAGTTTAATAAACTCTCTATTCAAGTACTCCTCTCACAGCCACGTACTAACACGGCTGCCATCAAAGTTCTTGTCAAGACAAACTGTTCTTACTCATACCACCCTACAATCTAATTCATTAGATTCAGTCCAACCTGCCTTTTGTTCTGTTGCCGTGGCCCTACCATTCGTAGAGGGCCAAGTAACAACAGCCCCTGCTGTGCCCAACAATATTCTGTTACTGGAGACTTAGTAACAGCTGCCGCCTCCTGATATGGTGAACGTTAATGTAATGTGCCCTTCTTCGTTGTTTACTGTCCCTCAGGTTCAAACTTTTGCTAATCAAACGACACACACAGTGGCCTCTTATACTTATGTATAAGAGGTAGTTATGCAAACTTAGACAATATCTTGACCAGCGCCAATAACTTGGAAAGGATACACATATCTTATTCTCAACTACGCTCGCTTCTGAACGTTCAAGGTTTCCAACTTTATAAAATATATTCAAATTTTCGTGCCTTTTCAAATGAGTATTACAATGATCTTCACTTCAGAAGTCAATCTTGACTTAGATAATAGCTTAACTAAGGTTCTAGGTATTAACAGGTCACCTTATCAAGACAATTTCTCTTTTAAATTACTTGTTTGCAAAGAGGCGCCTCCCTTAACAAAAAGAAAATGATGTGCCTATGTTTCTCGAATGTATAACTCCTTAGAAAAACTCTTATCTTTTAGAGTACACTCTAAATCTTTCTTACAACGTTTCTGGTCATTACCCTTAGACTGGGACAGTGAAATACTAGATGATCTATTGATATCGTATTGGCAATCATTACTGGATATATTCCAATCAATATATAAAATTCAATTTCCCAGATGACCGACGCTTCCACTGCTTGTATCGGATATGCTACTACGACAAAGTAGGATTAAGTGGAACATCGCTAGTGATCTTTTAAAGGTAGGTGATGTGGTAGTAATCAAAGATGAAGAGACTTCCCCACTCCTCTGGCCTCTGACAAAGGTAATCGAATTGCTCCCAGGCAAGGATTCTCTTGCTCAAACAGGTGTATCCACACCAAATGGTGAATACTTTAGATTATTAAAGAAAGCTAGGTTACCCTTTAACCAATAGTGGTGCTTTCAGCCAAATATATAGCATCTTATATCTATAAGTTAGATTTTAGTTTCTCTAGATTTTAAATAGTTATCTTAATTTTTACAATAATATCTCTAATATATACCGGTTGACCCTCGTTCTCGAAGTAACTATTTGATATCCTATCCCAGTGGCGTAACTCTTCTCGCCAGCCCCCAGTATGTTCAATTTTTTCACATGCGAAAAATCATGTCATTTTTTCGCTATATTACTACCATTCTACCACAATTTAACAATTATTTCCCACCCTTCAACACTTCCTACTCACATTTTAAGCCCACTCTATTACAAATACAGACAGTTGTACGATAGAAAAGAAGAAAGACGCCCTCTTGTCTGTTGACTGTCGTTAAGGACAGTCGTTCTCTTCCGTCTGTTGAGTCTCGCTAGGCAGACCACTCTCTCTCTCTCTCTTACCCTTTGCTTATCGAGAAGAACAGTCGCTCTCTTGGCTGTTATCTATCGCTAAAGAGACACTCTCTGCTGTTGACTGCCGCTAATTCATTATCTCTCTCCCGCTTTTAGTTACCCGACAAATACGTGCACACACCTATTTTAAATCGTGCACACACGCAAAGTATGCTCTATCTCGTGATCTCAGTGTTAGTACCGCGAAACACATGTTCAGAAACCGGTGCCCGGACAGATTCCGCATATGACGAAACCGTTTCCTACATATCCTAATTTATTTGAACCAGCCCTGTGTAATACAGTCCACATACACTGAAATTCCACTAATAATTTCACATATGTACACCCTTTTTGTACAGTTACTAAAAGGAATTTTACTAGTTAATTTGTATCCGGTTTTAATGTTTACCGTCATATTTTTGTAAAGCTATTGTACTGCTTTTAAATTTTATTTTTGCATAGAGTCTTGAAAGTGAATTTATGACACTTCGCACTCTGCAGTTTGAAGAATTTCTATCTCCTTATTTGTAGGTGATGCTCATGCTTTTCGATTTTTTAGAGGTCTTATTGCATCTTCCACTTCCTGTACTGCTATTTCATCATGTTCATCGTATTACAATTCATATGTTGTAATGGTTTTTGCGAATTGCGTTTTGTTTCAGTCAGAAGTTGTGAGTAATGTTGAATCTAAGATATTTCTTCTATTAAATCTACTCTACTCGTTTCTATTGTATTGGTTATCAAGTTTTTTATCGTTTCCGATGCTTCTTTTGATCTTGTTGATCCATATATGTATTTGATTTTCGCATTTACTTTCACAGGAGGTATTTTTTCTGCTAAAACTGTCGGGTCCAGGTGCTGTCCCGGCCTTTAGTGCTTTCCCTCCTCCACCAGCTCCTCTATAGAGAAATCTGTTGCCTTCGTTTCTACACACCTCTCTTCTTAGGCTTTCTTCGATTTTGTGTCATTCTCGAGGTTATCGCACATTTATTTACATCACCTTTTTTTTCATTGTTTATTTCTTTTGCGAGTTCTTTCTTTAAAGTTCTATTGTATTCTATGTGTTTCGTTCTTCTACCATCGTTAGTTTTCTCTATGTTCTCTCTTATCTTGAATAGAATGTATCTGTGATGGGTAAATATTTCCCCTTCCAGTACATCCCATTTAGCCGTTTTTTTGTGAGTGAAAATAGATTAATTACATTGATTAGCTCATTCCACATATCTCCTCTCTGTCATCATTATATGGTGCCCATGACACAGATTTAATATTTATGTCACTAACAATAATATTTATGTCACTAACAACAATAATATTTAAGGGCCCGCGTAGCGCAAGCGGTAGTGTGCTTGCCTCGCATGCCGGTGGTCGTGAGTTCGAATCCTACCGCCGGCAAGAACAACTAGGCATTTTTAAAAATGTCTATAGGCCCCAGGTCGACTCAGCCTGAATAAAATGAGTACCTTGGGTAAAACCAGGGGTAATAATAGGCGGTTGAAGCGTAGCACTGGCCATGTTACCTTCCTTGTATACCGTAGGCCCTAGATATAGCAGACTACCCTGCTATACTCCCAAAGCCGCGTGCGGTATAAAACGGGAGACTATTATTATTATTATTTACAATAATATTTTTTTCCTCTTGCATGACTGGCTATGTCTTCCTTGACTTTATTGCATTCTCTTAGTGGAGAGTATTGCATCCAGGACCACAAATCCTTCCTTCCTTAGACATGTTTTCACTCCTATTTCTCTGTTTGTTATACAGATTGGTACGTCTTGCTCCTTGTCTACTTACTTTGGTTGTTAATCTATATTGGGTTCGGATACTATTACTAGATCGGCCTCAGTTTCCTCCCCTCTTATCGTAAGTATGTGCCGACCTATATCTCCCCAGGTTCGCTTATAGTATTATCACACCTTTAAATTCTTTTATGTTCCCCCCCCCCCGCTTTTAGCTCTGACTACTCTCTTCATTAAGAAAATTATGTTCGCTGTTATATAAGCATCGAGCAAAAAGACAAAAGAGGGAATCTAATCCTTATGAAAAGGAGACCAAAAAAGTGGCCTCTGATTGCGGACATATCCGGAAATGCGAATGCGCCAAATTTAAATTTTCCGACACTTATTAACAGTAGCTATATAATATTGTTCAGAATGTGTCTTAGACGAGAAAGTTTTAATTAATTATTAACGGTAATAGTCTAAAATGCGACACAATTGTTCAAAAACTTCAATATAAATAAGATTTCATGTGACATTTGGGACAAACAATAACATAACCCAACTAAATTTGATGTCAAACAAGGAGAGAGACTCTCTTTCCTTGTTTAATGTGGCCTCTAAAGATCGCACTTCCTGTCTAACAATTTATTTGCCCCCACTACCTTTAAATTCCCTATTTTGTCTTTTTGCTGGATGTATATAAGCCACAGTAAGGTGTATTTTGTCTGTTTTTCAAATGTGGCCTTCTCTTCAGTAGCTAACGAACTTGTCTCCTCCTTTGCTTTCCTTACACGTATTCTTTGTGTGTCCAAAATGCAGGCATTCAAAACAACTCTTTGGTCTGTATTTGGGTGACACAATTTTGCATGTCACCAGCCCCATTTTGACCCATTTCTTGCATCAAAATTATTTGAGTAGGTCACGTTCTCAGCACCTTCAACTGTTGTCACGTTTTGTTTTAAAATTTCTTATTCGCGAGTCGCTGAAAATATTACTTCGTATTTTATACTCTACAGGTGCTATCAAACCAAAATAATAATTTATTGGTTATATTAATATATTTAATTGTATTCAAAATATCAAGTGTGCACATAGTGTGCATTATCATTTAATAATAGCGTATAATAGATATCAATCAAATATTTTATATGTAGAAGTACTGAAAACTATATATAAATGGCAACGGTTGTTTACATTTCTCTGTCTTATGGACCTACGTCAAACTTCAAATGCTGTTCCATGTTTGTTTACTTTTGACAGTAGATGAGGAAAAGGTGTTTTTTGATATTTTGGCTGTATTTTGAGTGATATTTCTGAAAAGTGAAATAGAATAAACGAAATATTTACATCCCGATCTCTAATTTCATTTGTAAGTACATACAATTTACATTATTTAAGATGAGGAAATGAGGAAGCGTGTTTGTTTACATTTTAATAGGCGTACCATTGGTTTTATTCATGTAAAAGATCTGTTTAGTACCTTTTTAATTTAATATTTCTCATGGATACAAATAAATTAGTGAAATGAATAAAACTCATTTCTTTTTCTATGTAGGTTTCCAAATAATATTGACGATCGAACTATTTGGGTAGCAAATTTGGGAGAAAACAAAGATTTTTTATTGTAGCATTATTTTGATACCTATTAAAAAATTAACTTGAATTCAACTATATTTAATTGTATTAATTTTAAAGCAAATAAAATTGTATTTTAATTTTTCTATAAAGAAGTGATTTGTTAATAGTTAAACTCTCGTTTTTTTCAATTCTTTGAATGTGTTTTTATACATTATTACTACTTCCAATTTTTAAAATCTGAATAAGTACCCGCGAGTAAAAATTCAAGCACGCTTATGCTCATTGCGGAAGCATCACATTCTATCGAAGCTTCAAAACATTGTGTGTTAAAGGTATCTTATTGCTGTGTCCATCTATGTTTATACATCCATGAGTTTACCGAAAGGACAAGCTGAATATAGCCGCAAATGTCAAAAATATTTCAGTTTGGCAGTGTTGGCATGTTTATATAATGCATAGGTTGTATGCTTCAAATATAAAGAGAGAAAGGTTTTAAAAAGTACATTTTGATTATACTATTTTATGAATTCTGCAATTTTTAATTTATATGAAACAATAACCAATCTCTTTCGAGATTAATTGCAAACACCTGTTGCAATATGGCAACTGCTGATTTGATGATTGCCAAATCTATCCCCTAATCTATCAAAGGGTAACTGCTAAAAAAATGTCTAATAATTAACTGCAATTAATCTCCATAGAAACAAATATTTACTCATTCTTGTTTTATATAAATCAAAAATTGCAGAATGCAAAACATAATAGTATAAACAAAATGTACTTTTCTGAAGCTTTATCTTTTTATATTTGAAGTATACAGCATCTACATTATAAAAACATGCCAACACTGCTAAACCAAAATTTTTTGTTCCATGTTTGACATTTGCAGCTATAATCAGCTTGTACTTTCGGTAAACTCAACCAATTTTTGTATGCACACCAGATAAAATGTCACTGAACAGCACTGGTTCCGTTAAAAACATGGCTGATTTCGTCTGCGTCATCGAGTTAGAACTCTATGGTCTCCGCATCGAGCAAAAAGACAAAAGAGGAAATCTAACCCTTATGAAAAGGAGGCCAAAAAAGTGGCCTCTGATGGTGGACATATCCGGAAATGCGAATGCGCCAAATTTAAATTTTCCGACACTTATTAACAGTAGCTATATAATATTCTTCAGAATGTGTCTTAGACTATAAAGTTTTAATTAATTATGAACGGTAATAGTTTAAAATGCGACACAATTGTTAAAAAACTTCAATATAAATAAGATTTCATGTGACATTTGGGACAAACAGGAACAAACAATAACATAACCCAACCAAATTTGATGCATCGAGCAAAAAGACAAATTTGATGTCAAACAAGGACAGAGAGACTCTCTTTCCTTGTTTAAAGTGGCCTCTAAAGATCGCACTTTCTGTCTAACCATGATACTATAAACTACAGATAAACCATCGAGCAATAAGACAAAAGAGGGAATCTAATCCTTATGAAAAGGAGACCAAAAAAGTGGCCTCTGATGGCGGACATATCCGGAAATGCGAATGCGCGAAATTTAAATTTTCCGACACTTATCAACAGTAGCTATATAATATTTTTCAGAATGTGTCTTAGACGAGAAAGTTTTAATTAATTATTAATGATAAGTGTCTAAAATGCGAGACAATTGTTAAAAAACTTCAATATAAGTAAGATTTCATGTGACATTTGGGATAAACAATGACGTATAATATATAGACTACGCAGTCCCCTATTCTCGCTATAGAATCAAGTGTCCGAAAGATCTCGGCTCAAGGTTGAAGGTATGTTTATCACAACAGCGGCGTGCTCATTTATATGTTAATGACAATAATTATTTTTTAATTAAAATTAAATATTTATGATTTCTTTTTGTTCCCGTCTATAAGAGAAATAATTATTTTGATAAAATAGTATGGCATTTTACTAAAATAGTAAGTAAATAACTCTCAACAATTTAAAATAAAATTTGCTTGTCACACAAAATGGAGAAAATGTTTTCATACGTCCATGATGTTTTCAAACACAAGATCAACTTCGTGATGCTTCGTAAGAAATCGTGAACTTCGTGCATCTTCGTATCAAAACAATAAACAATAACAAAGGTATTCATGTTTTGGACACTTTTTAAAGCGTTCACCGAGTCTATATATTATACGTCATTGGGGATAAACAATAACATAACCCAACTAAATTTGATGTCAAACAAGGAGAGAGACTCTCTTTCCTTGTTTAAAGTGGCCTCTAAAGATCGCACTTCCTGTCTAACAATATGTTTGCCCCCACTACCTTTACATTCCCTCTATTGTCTTTTTGCTCGATGAGATAAACCCACGCGCACGCGATCAGTCGTGTGACGTCACTTGATGACAGATGTCACCAGAAATGTTCTGTGTTGTATGGAGTTTTGTCAGATTTAGTCAAGGTTAGTAGATATTTAAGTATCTACTTAAATATCTACTAACCTTGAGATTTAGTTTTGTTTTATCGTTTATCTTGTACGTTGACATCGGTTTACTGGGTAAACCATCTTTCCGAAGGAGGTTTACTTAAACCATATCAAGATTTTCTAATTAAATGTAATGAACTGGACCATATTTTTAACAATTTTAACAAAGGGTCATTAAAATTAACCAAGAATTATTTAAAATCGCTAATGGATTTAGCTGTGTTCAGATGTAATGTTAGTAAAGGTGTAAATTATATTTTAAAATTAGAAAATTGAATAGATATGTTAAAGAAACATCCAAAGTTAAGAAAAAGAAAATATTAAAAATTGTAAAATAAATTGTTAAATAAACTTGTAAATTATTACAGTGTATTCTATTTTATCAGTTGTATTAAATTTTTATTTTAATAAATCAATCCATTGTATATAAATTTCCATTTGCAAAAGGATGTTTAGTTCTTACTTTTTTATATAATTTTTGTTTACATTGCTAGGCTAACAGAGATGTATATATAACATATTTTTAAGATTTAATTGCAGATATTTTACCTAACATCCCTTAATATTCTAAATATTTAAATAAAAACCCTCTCTTTCCATATATGTTTTACCGACTGTGATGATAAAAGGTTGGTGATAAAAGTGACTTTTATCACCAGTTGACGTCATGCGCGTCGATGTACAAAATTCGATTGCGAAGTGGGTTTATCTTGGAAGTCTTAGTATCATGCTGTCTAACATTATTTCTGCCCCCACTACCTTTACATTCCATCTTTTGTCTTTTTTCTCGATGGGTCTGCGCGAACGAGATGCGCGTACTTATTTTTTTCAAGAAAGGGGACATTCTGTGTTTATTCTTCTGTCACAGAATAATAAACACTTTATTATTCTGTGATTCTGTGGTGTAGCACAACTTCAATCAAGACATTGACAATTGTTTGCCAATGAACCACAGAACACTAATAAGGCAAATAAAAATGAAGTGAAATCGCTGCGCTGTCACTGTCATATAAAGGTGTTTTCTCACAGCATAACTTCAGCAACTGTCAAAGTTTATTTTAACTAAAAATTTTATATTGCGTTTATTTTATTATGGCAGTATACTAAATTCTCAACTTTCAACAAAATAATGGAGAAATTACCAGTAGAAGTTATTGAAAATATTCTCACTTTCAAGAAAATATCTATTGAAGATGTGGTGCATTTTTCTTTAACTTGCCATTATTTTCATAATATTGTAACTAACAACAACAAAATCTGGAAAACTAAGCTGTTTCAGAAGTAAGTAATTATGATCTCATGTGTTTTAAAACTTCAATTATTTTTGTAATATTGGTATTTCAAAAAATGCTTGCATTCAATATTGTATAATAAAGATGGCTTGATATGAAAAAATTGTCATTGAACCGGCATTTTGCAACATAAAAATATTAATATTTACTTATCTTTCATATGATTTAAATATATCTTATTAAAATGTCTGTAGTTGTCTAGTTTTATGAGTACCAGAATAGTTTTTTATACTTCATTTGTAGTATGTCAATTAGAGAAGTATTTTCCTAATTATTTCCTTTATCTATTAATATGTAATTTTCCTATTGTATATAATTAACTACAGTAGTACCTGTATACTACCTAAATCTATTCCTAGTAATAATCAAACAGTATCTTAGTTTTTGGTTATCCTCTTCTCCTCAATGATTTATTTCAATTTGTGACTTATTTTATCAAAATATGTAATTAATTATAATCTATAATTGATAATTTAGGGACTGCTAGTTTAAAAAATTTAAAATAGAATATTCTAGTTTTGCAAATGACAATACAATTTTAAAGGGAAATTTTGTTCTTTCCTGGATAATAAAAATAACTAATGCAGTCAGTTTGCTAATATTAGTCCCAACTGTCTAGTGAATTTAGTAATTATCTTTTTGCAAAGTAGTTAGTTATACTTTGATAGACTAGAAGTCGCTGGAAATTACTATAGCACCAAGCTCATGTGCTCATATCTAATGTTAATTAAAAACAAACATTTATTCACATGTAGTTTATTAACAAAATAAAACAAAATATTGTGACACTTATTTTAAATCAACTTTATTCAGAACATTAACAATGTTACAATGACAACTATAAACTTCAAAACAACTACTACTGTTCTAAACTGTCAAAAAAACTTCTATATATTTTCTGAGGTTCCAAACTACACTAGACATTTCATGAATTTTCTATGTCATCTTGAATGTTCTTGAACTACTTCTTTTTCAACAAGGCACTTCTTCTAAGTTGGATAAATCTTATGGAACTTTCGTAACAATATTTTGAGGAAATCAATTTCACTAAATTAGGCAGTCAATCAGAAAAGATTAAGACAATGCATGATACTTGTTATTTTCGTCTGATAGAACCAACACAACATTTGATTTTTTATCTTACAAAATGGGTATAATTCCCTATGGAAACAAAATTTAGTAGATATATAAACAAGTTTAAAGTTAATTTAAGTAGGTAGATAGATAGAATTTATTCATCTACAAAGTTTACACAATTTTTACAAGAAAAAAATAATGTATAAATCTTATCAGACTAGTCAAAATTTTAGTACAAAAGAGTACAATATATAGCAAAAGTACACATGATTAAAATAAAACAGTTATTACAATAAAATAAATAAGAAATAAAAGTTACAAATACAAGTTACAAATTTAAATTATTTATATTTTAATAGAACTATACTAAACCAAATAAACATAGCAAATAATACAAATATTTACTACAGTATGTTACATTATAACTATATTTTATTATTTTATAAATATAGTTATATAAATATATATTTTAAATCTATATGGAACATTTTATGCGTCTAGTATACACTTCCACTATTTATAATAATTCTTCTTTTTTCAATGAAAGAAATTTGCAACAGTAAGTTTAGTTGAGCTGTTAGTAGTGTGATTATATATATATATATATATATATATATATATATATATATATATATATATATATATATATATATATGCAATAAAAGACATATATTATGGCATTTGAGAACACATTAGTCAAACTTTTTATGTCTGAATCAGAATCAATGGAATGATATAACAGTTATTTCTATATCTCCACTTCATAAGCCGTTTGACCTGATTCTGATTTAAACCAAAAAGCCTAACTAATATCTTCAAAATCTTCCCACTATCAGTGGTTCAAGCAAGCTTTTGCCAAAAGTGACTAATATTTACATATACAGTAGACTCCCTCTATAACGAGAACTGAAATGGCAGACTAATTACCTCTTTATAAACCAATCTCGTTATATCAAAAAACAATAATACTGTGCAATATAAGATGCTAAATATTGTTTGAATGGTGTTTTTGAAAACAACAATGAAATAGAGACTCTCTTCGGGAAAGGCAACATCGTAAGATACATAAAAGCCAATAGATTAAGATGGGCAGGCCACGTGGTACGGAGTGATGACGACAGACTGATTAGCAATGTATTTTGGGAAAGACCAGATGGTAAAAGATCGACAGGAAGGCCTAGAAAAAGGTGGAAAGACGCTGTCAGGGAAGACCTGGAGAAGATGGAAGTAAGGCCATGGGAAATAATAGCACAGCATCGGAATCAATGGAAGGCAATAGTAAACGCAGCAAAAACTCACGAAGAGTTGTAAAAGCCAATGATGATGATGATGGTGTTTTTGAAAAAAAGTTGTTTTTATTTTCAGTGAAATACATTAAAAAAGAGTTGTTTACTTTTATTTTCAATGATATATGTTAAATCAAAAAATCTGTATTTTGTAAATCTGTATAAAGCGTATTTTCAAAGATAACATAAACTATTGCTTCTGCAATTGGAAGAAGTCTGTTATTTTTGACTGCTTTGTCTATTAGGACCTTCATATTATTAGGTAAGAATGGTCAACATCCTACATTGACACTTGTGAATCATAAATTGTAATTTTCTGAAGAAGTTTATTGCAGGAGGTAGTTAAAAAGGATATTTATTTATAGCCACGGCCGGGCCAAAAACGTAAACGATTTTTCGATCTTATTTTCTCTCGTTATTATAACTAAATTTGCCTCGATATAGAGGGTTACAGTTCAATAGAAATTTCACTGGACATCTAATGTACCTTGTAATAACCGTGTTCGTTATAGAGGATACAGTGTAGGTAAAAGTTTATGGCCAGTATGGTCAAATTTAACAGGATATCTAACACAGATATAAAATCATATTTTCAGCGAATAGACAAATATAACAATCATATTTCCCTTGATCTCCCCTCCATATTTCTCATTGACTCCCATTGCCCATTAGTGAGACGATTAGTTCCGATCACAGATATTTTACATATCTCTGGTTCCGATCCTAATATACCTAAGAAACTAGAGGTGGGTCGTTGACATTTTTATCGGAACCGGTTTTCGTAAACTGTAACTAGTTGATTGTTTACCAGTAGTTTCAAATAAGCGAGTACACAAACAAACATATTGGCTATTATCGTTTATGTGTATAAGTATTGAAGTGAAAGAAACTAACGAAGAATATATTTATTATAACTTAAAAAATAAATTAAACAATACATATAGTACTTACATTTACATTACATATTGTTAAATCGCGAATCGTCTAAATTGACATTTAAAAACATAAGTTTTTCCATTTTTCCTGTTAACTGTGTTCTTCTTTTATTTAAAATTAAACCAGATTTTGAACATGTGTTCACAAGGAACAGATTTTGTTACCCACCACTGTAATTGACAGTTCCAATCTCTGTTCGAAATCACTTGATGTGGGTAATATATCATCAGACAAATACATGTCAACTTCTTTTATATCTCTCGATAAAGGTGAATGTTATATGAGTCATGTCCAATTAATTCATCAAAAATACACCATGGACGTCATCTTTATCAGTTTCTTTTTCCTGTACTGGTTGATTTTCAATAGTACATTCTCCTTTTTCTTTTTTTTTTTATAGAAGTAACCAGCTTCTTAACTATTTCTTTTGTTTTTTATAACTAGGTATCCTGATTAATGAATGAATTTCGATTTACAATTGATCTTCAAGTGCCCTGTCCGTTGTGAACATTGGCTATTAACATGGCAGTTCTGATCTTGTTTGCGGCGCTTCTGAATATTTACAATTGATCTGCATTTTCTATTTCAAATCTTTATTGATAGTTCGTCAAAGGATTTATTTATTGTAAATATTCAATTAAGAATTCTTTTTCTTAGTCAAAATTATTGACCTAGTATAAGAATAATTTTATTTTCAAAAAATGCACATTTGTAGAAGATGCAGCTTTTATGGTCCACTTTCTGAATATTGCAATGATTGAAATTTCTCCTGACGCATTTCTGTCCGTTTCGACTACTTCTACTACAAGTATTGAGATCCTGCCACCGCCACCCAAGTGCCAAAAGGTGATGGATACTTACATTAATAAAAATATTAGTTTAGAACAAAAGAAACAAATAGATATGGATTTACTAAACCTATGCAAAGTTTGAATGCCATAGTTGAAGAATGAGCTTTTAAAAAGTTTGCAGGGTGGATTCCTGGATATAAACTGCCAACAATAAAAACTTTGTCAGGTTCTTTACTTCAGGAATGTTATATCAAAACTGAGCATATTATTAGATCACAAGTTGTTAAAGAAGTAGAAAATATCTGTATTACTACTGACCTCTGGACATCTGGAGCAACTGAGAGTTACATCGCATTAACAGGACAATATTTAACCTAAAATTTAGAATTTAAAACGGTTATTTAGGCTGCTGCCATTTTTCTGGAAACCATAATTCAGAAAACATCGCTTTTGAAATTAGTGAAATTATTAATCAGTGGGATCTAAAACGAAAAGTAAATTTTGCAGTAACTGATAATGCCTCAAATATGGTCAAAGCTATTAAAGATGTTTTGGAATGAAAATATTTCAATTGTTTTGCTCATACTTAAATTTATTGGTAGAGGACGCACTTAAATGCTGCCGTGTACAAATAGAGAAAATAAAAAGTCTTTTTTTCGACAATTCGGCAAAAAACACATTTCAAAAAAAGTACCTTATCTTCAGAAAGGCTTTTAAAGTATCAATTACAACATAACAAAGTTCCCAAGCGGCCAATCCAAGACATGGAATCTAGGTAGAACTTCACTTATTACATGTTAAAAAGAATGGCTGAGTTAAAAGAGGCAATCCGTTCCACATTGGTATTAGTTAATACAGACTTAGACTTAAATTATAAGTAAAACATAATTATATGAAAAAAGTTTATTTGATATACTATAGTTATTACGCATATCAATATTATAATCGGTGATTGCCTTTCTAAAATGGTTTTGATTTAAAAATTTTTATAATGTTCGATTATGGATACAATTGGCATCGCTGCCCAAAAATTTCTGATAAGGATTGCATTGCTCTCTGTTCTATGTACTGAAAAATCAAGGTGAGGTAGTCGTTAGTAACACATTATTAGTTTATTGAATGTTAGTATAAAACAAAACATGATAAGACTTGTTAAGTTATGTACAACAAAAATGTTTTGCACTTATTAATAAATGTATTTGTTACAGATTTCCCCAATTAAGAAGCCTATTGGAAAGTAAACATATCATTTTCCAACATGAGGTTAAATATATTTATGAACTGAAGAAAAGAACTCGAGCTTTACTTGAGAAAATGCCCGCCAAATTTTACAAGAGGTATAATCTGCAAAAACTCTTTATTTTTATTTAGGTTAGGTTAGGTTCAATCTCATTGAACGAGTACAAAATTACAATTACCTCGGAACAAATATTAACGAGTCAAACGAATACACCAGAGAAATAAGAATAAGAATAGAGAAAGCCCGCAGTGCATTTAACAATATGAAACAAATGTTGTGTAGCCGTAACCTAAGCCTAAAGCTGAAAATACGAATGCTTAAATGTTATGTTTTCTCGGTCCTGTTATATGGGGTGGAGGCGTGGACACTAAATAAGCAATGTATGGGTAAGCTGGAGGCATTTGAGATGTGGGCGTACCGAAGAATGTTAAAAATCTCCTGGAAGGATAAGATAACTAACCAAGTTGTATTAGACAGGATGAACAAACAAAAGGAGGTCGTATTGAGTGTTAAAATGAGGAAACTACAGTACCTGGGACATATTACACGTGGGAATAAATATCAACTGTTGCAACTAATTATGCAAGGAAAGATTGAAGGTAGGCGCAGCATAGGTAGGAGAAGAATGTCATGGTTGAGAAACCTCAGGGAGTGGTTTGCTTGCACGTCCATACAATTGTTCCGAGCGGCAGCCTCCAGGGTCAAAATTGCCATGATGATAGCCAACCTTCGTAGCGGAGATGGCACGTGAAGAAGAAGAAGGTTCAATATGGGTGTGTGCTTAATCATCTTTCAACTCCACCTAAGAGGTCTATTGTGGTTCATCTATGTTAAAGTTGTCCTTTTAGCCCATCCTTTTTAACCATGTCTATTATGGTCTTAGGTGACACTTCTACGAAGTCGTAGAACTCGGGTTAATAATGCTCAAATGTATTGAGTTTATCCTATTCAACCCTCGGCAGTTGCACATACAGTGTTCCGCAGTCTCGTCTTCAGGTTGACAAAATCTGCAATCTGATTTTTCTCCCAGTCCGATTTTATTCATGTGCCCATTGAGTCAACACTGTCCTGTTAGGAGACCTACGATGATTTGCAGATTATTCCTATTCATATTTTGTAGATCGTTGGATTTCTTCTTCGAAGGTTAATGCATAAAAGCCTTCGAATGTTTTAAGACCTATTTGTTTGTATCTGTGGTTACGTTTCATCCGTTCCACCCAGTCCGATATCGTTCTTTTTGCTGTGTTTCTTGCTACGCCAACTAAAGGTTCTCAGCCTAAAAATGTTTCTTTTATCTTTTATGTATGGGAATCATGTTGTCATGTGGAGAGAACCAAAACAAACTACCCCCTAGTCCCGGGCAGGTTGTAACTGGCCAAATAATGTGTAGGATCTCTCGATGTCAACTAGGCCAGGTACACAAAATTGCTACATGAAATGTCAGAAGCTTATTTACAGCGGGAAAACTACAAATTCTAATACAGGCTATGACTAAATGAACATCGATCTTTTCAGCGTAAGCTAATTGCGGTGGAAAGACGCATGAGCAGATAGTGCCAGTGTAAAAACCTTTACTAGTCACGGTGTAATAGCAGAGATCCGAATCACAGACATGGAGTTCAAATCATAATAAACGAAAGTTTACGCGTCTCCGTGAAGAACTGTCCCGGTCTAAGAAATTCTAAGGTCTAAGAAGGTCTAAGAGTCCTACTAATTCAACTGCATAGAAAAGTTAACATAAACATCATTCTTGCCTACATTCTTACGATAGACAGGTCAGAAGAACTATAGCGACTTTATCAAGAACTAAGGTTGACTTATTAAGATTGGAAGTCTTAAAGTTGACTAAAAATCACGAAGTCAACATCGTAGAAATAATAACTTGAAAGTTGGAGAAGAAGCTGTAGAACACGTAGAGTGGGACAATATGGTCTGAGTGAGGAAAACGACAGAGCGAAAAGGTTGATATAATATTTGAAAGAAAAAGATCTAGTTATAACGAGTACTTGGTATTAGTTGCCACCCATGACACTTTACATTTGGAAGTCGCCTTTAAATGAACATCACGGCATTGTAAGGAATAATCTGGAATGGACTTAAGATTACTTAAATAAGGAACCGTTTGCAAACATGAGTATATAAAGAAGAAATAAACAGTAGATTATCTGATATAGCAGCTACAGATGGTATTGAAAAGATATAGACCACCATAAGTCATTTGAAGGTGCCAACACTTTTCTTCCCATATATAAAACAACTATTAATATGAGTAGTAATATGAGCATATACAGAACAAATATTAGAGATGATGGAACAATGCAGGCAATGCAAATTCAGGTAAGCTCAAGAAGGGTACCGAAATATATATATATATACTTACAGTAAAATTCGTAAAGAAATTAAGGCGACCAAAGAGACGTGGGTATTTGTACCTATATTATTTGTACTAGAGCCAAAAACCTCTATACACTCAGCTACTTCTTTTATCCCCACAAGAAAATTATGTAACTAAGTAATAACCGGAATTAAGCAAAAACATAACAAGAATGTTAAAAACGAAAATGTAGAACTGATGATAAACTTCTGTACCAATGACGAACTTGGAATAAACAACACATTTTATGTGACCACAAAGACCAACGCAAATATACATTCAATGTCTTTGTCCACACCTGTGGACAAATATCTTTGATAGATTATGTTATAACCGACAGAGATATACATCAATAAAAAATAATCGATGTAAGATGCCTCAACTCAGCAGATGTAGGTAGCGACAATAGCCTAGTATTATGTAAAATATAAATCGTCATGAAATACTTCACACCCAAGAGAGCGGCGCCAACACAAACAAAAATCAGTCGGAAGGACTAAATACTGAATCCACGGAATACTTATAGAGAAAAAGAATATCAGAGTAAATAGTTGGAAATGAAATATTAGAAAACGATAACATCGAGGAAAGTTAGGAAAAATTCAAAAATAACATAATTAATGCAGCAACAGAATCACTTGGAGAGAGGAAAGTACATGAAATTGATGATTATTATTTTGAACGGCATATAAATTTGTCTGCTGTGTAATATATTGAGTATACAGCAGAGCTGGTCTTTTCGAAAGTCTTTTTCTTCTTCTTTTAGTACCCTGCCAGGTTATCGAACGTTGGCAATATTGACAATAATAACTTTGTTTACGGCCTCTCGAAATAGCTTAGAGGATGTCTCTTAACACCACTCTCGGAGATTTCGGAGCCAGGGTATTCTTCTTCGACCTGGGCCCCTTCTTCCGGCGACCTTGTCCTATATTATGAGATGTAAAAGGTTATACCTCTGGATGTCTCATTACATGGCCGAAATATTGTAAGTTTCGATTTTTTATTGTTCTTCTTATTTCTGTTCTATTTTTCATGTGGTGTAGAACTATTTCATTTGTTATTCAATCAACCCAACTTATCTGCAATATTCGTCGGTAAATTCACATCTCAAATGGATCAAGTTTTCATTAGTGTTGCTGTAAGAGTACAACTCTCCATGCCATACAGCAATGTGGAGAATATGTAGCAGTATATTAATCTGATTTTAAGGTTTACTGTAATATCTATATTAATCAGTAGTTTCTTTAGTTTGTAGAAGGCAGCTCAGGCTTTTTCAATTCGAATTCTTATTTCTTTGCTTATATTCTAGTTATTTATTTGTTCTATTTTTCATGTGGTGTAAAACTATTTCTTTTGTTATTCGATCAACCCAACTTATCTGCAATATTCGTCGGTAAATCCACATCTCAAATGGATCAAGTTTTCATTAGTGTTGCTGTAAGAGTTCAGCTCTTAATGCCATACAGCAATGTGGAGAATATGTAGCAGTGTATTAATCTGATTTTAATGTAGTATCTATATTAATCAGAATTTTCTTTAGTTTATAGAAGACAGCTTTTTCAATTCGAATTCTTATTTCTTTGCTATATCCCAGTTATCTTTAAAATTTGCACCCAAATAGGTGATATTGTGGATTCTTTCTAACTCTATTTTATATGGTCTGATGTTCATTGGTTGTAACTGTGTTTTGCTGACAACCATAAGTTTTGTCTTAGAAGTGTTAAGCTTTAGCCCATATTCAACACATGTTTCGGCCACCCTGTTTATAAGTATTTGAAACTGTTTCAAAATCGGATAAATTGGCAAATGAACCCTAAGGCCCGTAGTCATACAAACCTAAGTAAAAAAAAACTCTTTTTCATTTGATGCAATCAGTACCGTTGATTTTAATGTCTGCATCTTTATCTAAAGCTTCTTTCAAAATAAATTCGGAGTAGATTTTAAAAAGTAGAGGCGATAAAATACACCCCTAATTCACTCCACGTCGTATTGTCGTTTGGCAGACCATAAATGTTCGTTCGTTCCCTTTGCTTTTTTGGAAAATTTTTGTATTCTTTGCCCTCTTTGCTCATTTTACAAAAATGATATAATATGAATGCGTTTACAAAGTGTAAACATGGCCACTGAGTTAAGTTCCCTCGAACTCTCAGAGTATCTTTGTATAGGGAGCAGAATGTTGTAATAACCTTTTTTCTTGTCTTTGGCTTGAAGTATTTTTTCAGTAGGCTGCACTAAGTTGCATGTGCCTGCCCTGAATGGGTATGCACATACATACATGGGTTTTTGGGACACCGCAGAATGGTTATGGTTCAATAAACGGAATAATAGTTCTTTCTTTAGTAAGATTATTAGCAATCTCGTTACCAGCAATTCCTCTATGACCCTAATCCATAAAGTTTTTGTTGTATTTCTTTACTTAGGGGATTGTTTGCAGTTATGCACTACATCTTGTCGACTTTAAAGTCCTTAGTGCAGCTTTTCTGTCAGAAGCAAGAAATATTTTTTAACCAAATTGTGGCGATTTTTCAGATACTCTAATATTCAATTAATTACTCACTAAGATTAAATTAATTAATTTGGTTTTCAACACAATAAAACAAATGAGTATATTTTATAAATTATGTTTTAAAAACACATCTTGTTTATACAATAAAATGGTTTTACTAAGCTCTAAATATATGATAAACAATTATTTTTATGTTTGTAGGTATGAAATCTCAGACTCGGATCTATATGAGTGGAGCAGTATTTTACTTGAAAGAGAAGAAGTATACAAATGTCTTGTAACAGATTTAATGGAGATTGTAAATACAGATGTTTCTATCAAGAGTATAGAAGTGGTACCATTAAAGTAAGGTTCTTTTTTTTTACTTCCTGAGAATAAGTCTTCTTTTTAAACTAGTGGTTCTCAAACTTATTTTCCCTATTGACTCTATTTCTATATAGAAATATTACCTATCGCCCTCTGGAAATTTTTTTATTTTAAGAGCATTTAAATGGAAAGGTATTAATGTTTCTACGTTTTCGTAAAATATAGTAAAGAAAGGTGTAAATAAAAAACATGGAACTTTGAAATTATGAAATTATTTATTGAAATCAGAATAGAAAGGTAAAGGAAAGGAGACAAAAAACATCTCTCTGAACGAGATGGATGAACTCAGCGTGCTGCTATTAATTTAGTAATCCTTAGCTGTATTTTTGTCAACAGTAGTCTTAATAAATCCAATTTGCAACTGGATTTTTTTGTTAATAAATAGGACACGGCACTGAATCCACGTTCTAATAAATATGATGGAGCAAATTCAATCAAGAATTTTTAAATTAGGATTAAATACTTCAGGATAAGTGGTGCGGATTTCGCTTTGTAGCCAAAGCTGCTTTTGAATTTAAATTTCAATTTATCTGATTGAGAGAGAATCCAACTGCTCAAAATAATAAAGTATATCTTCATCTTTTTTTCTACTCCTGAGAAGTTTAAAAACTGGCTGAATTCCGCTCGTAAAAAATTTCGTTTGTACAGTAAAAGCTTTGTTACAAATGCAGAAATAACAGATTTTGTTTTTTTTTTTAATTCGTTTAATCACCTTTAAGCTGAAAACATTTTTTGAAGCAAGTCTGTCAAATAAGTGATGCCACTTTTGGATTTAATTCTCCAGCACCGGGTTCAGATTCACTCTTTGACAATCTACGAATTTCTAGGTTGTATAAAGTAGGAAACGTTTAAATTATTCATCGTTTTCAATACAAAACCGTTTAAATAGTCTCATTCAAGGATTTACTTCTGATTGTGTTGATAGCTTTAATTAACTAAATTTTCTCAACTAAATGTTGACGAGGCATGATACAGTTACAGTGTATTATAAATACATTGGACCTCCTTTTTTTAATATGCAGGAAAAACTCTGTACCGCCCTACCATCGTTGGAGCGCCATCTATGGCTATTGATGAGATATTACTTAAATGTATTTAATTTTCTTTAAAAAACCCATCCCATGCATGAAATATTGTTTGTCCTTAGAATCAGTTTGTAAATAATAATTCTTGGTAAATTTATTCTTTCTTTATAAACTGAAGTTGACTTATCAAGTTGAACAGAAAACCGATGTTTTTAAATATCCAGACAATAACTCTTCAATATTTGGAGTCAGATACTGGCTTGGGTACCAAGCTTTATTTCCTGCTAAAGCTGACTTAGTTGAACAGAAAACCGAGTTACTTTTAAATATTAACACAATAAATCTTCAATATTTGCACTTCTTTGCACGGTATTATTGCTCAACGAAATTTTCTTGATACTATAAATGCTGGTTTATGTAGCATAGTATGTACACTTATAGCAGGTATAATTAGGTTTTCCCCATTTGGCAATAATTAACAAAATCTTGTGAGAAGAAAGCAAGCCATCACGATATTGTCGATTCTTTGGTAAATTTTTCTTTTAGTCTTCGAAAAAAGATAAATCCTTATCTTTTTTATCTCCATGATTTTTTTTTGTAGAAGGCTTCATAGCTTCGTTTGATAAAACTTTCTGGTAAATGAGGCATATCGGCAATTTATTGTTTATATGCGACTCTATGAAGACATATTTGAAATATTCCATATTATAATGTCTACATTCTTTCTTTGTTTGAGCCATTATCTGTAGAAGAAATAACATTGTTATGGAGAAATTTTTAATTATAATTCTTTTTGTTTTTGAAATATTTGTGTAAAAAACAAACTAAAATGAATACTGATGAAATATGCAAATGAACATGATTTACGGAAAATCTCCTGGCTCATTGTATGCTGCAAAACCAGCTAGTAGTACTGCCAGTACTTAGTATAGTTGCGTTAAGAAATATAGTAGAATACTCAGATTTATAGGTTTTGATAGTTCTGATAGTAAGATATAGGTGACTGGTTAAAATATCTAAAAACTTCCAATTATGTAAAGAAATATTAAGCGTAATGAGAATACATAAAAATCAATTTGTCTTATTTTTTTTCCTTTCTTTTATGTTTTTACTGCCCTCATAGTAATTCCTGCTCTTAAGTAATTTGGAGGGTGTTTTTTTATTTTAGCACACCAGGAAATAAGACTTTCCAGTATTATGCCAATAAAGTACTCAGATACATACGACAGCATCATCTTTCCAAAGTTTGGAAGGAATACATATCTTTACCACCATCCAGACAAATTCTTGAAGTAGGTGCTGTGTTTGTTGCTCAGTGGTGTCAACCAAATGTTGAAGTGACTGTTGAGAATATAGGCCACAGATTAGATATGATAGCTGAAGAGGTTAAGTCTGCATTGCGAACAGTATATCCCGAGCATCCGATATTTAAAGTAAGAAGCATGTTATATTATTAAAAATGTTTATTATAAAGTTATTAACTACCGAATGTGTAAGAATTTAGCATTTTAAACTGTTCTCCTTTTAGACCTTCTTAGTTTAATGTTATATTTTAGTGTACTATCCTTTAATTACACTAATTTCCTGTTCCACCAAGGCATATCTCTATTGACGACTGTATTCCTGATTGACAAGCTTTCCCATATCATCTTATGATAGCACGATTCAACCTGTGTGAGGCTGTTTCGGAGTTCTTCTGCGGTTTCAATTGTATAATGAACATCTTCAACATCTGACCTTAATTCAGTTGTAGTAGGTACTCACCTGGTTTGTTTGTGTCTGTGCTGCCTCATACAGTATTGTGGGTATTTGTGGTCCAATAATAAGTTCTGGTCTTTGTATTGCACCAACCAATGAGGTTTCTTAATTTCCTTAAGCTGAGGATTATCTTCGTCATGGCTCTGGAATGAGTCCAATATCGCTTAGGTTTCTACTAAAGCTCCTACTCAGCACACTAGATGCAGCTTTTGAATGGTGCGCCTTCATCTTTCTTTTCTTGTCATTTGTACTCTTAAGCCTTTGCAGACTTTTGCTAGGATTTTCCTCTTTTTAGTAACGATGTCATCATTCTGTGCGTTTAAGAATACGAAAATACTGTGTTTTAGATTGCACAAACTATCACAAGATTTTCCCAATTATAGCTTTATCAGCGCAATACTGTGTCGAGCCTGGCCTGAACTATAGCTTGCTGAATTTAAGCTGCATCTGTGTCTTTGAAATCCGTCTCCACTGTTTCATCCAGAATAATCTCTGTATAATTTTGGAACAGTATTTTTACCCTTATGGTTTTTACCATCTAAAATGGCTTATATTCTCCCATAAGTGTTTAGACGGATAAACACCTTTCTTCCTAGGCTGCGCTTCTGGAGTGTTTTCTTCATTTGACGATCCTTCCTGAGTTTACTAGAATACTTTTCAGTATTCCATCTTGATCTCTGGTACTTACTATGGCCTAGAACGGGATTCTGTTATGTAGTTTCCTACATGAGTGAGTCTGCGCTGTTTATTTCCCTTGTGTGTTTCGTTTATTTTAACTTGGCTCATGGTAGTTCTTTAAGAACTCTGTAAGCTATGGCCCTGGACTTAGTCCAATATAGCTTAGGTTTCTACCGAAGCTCCTGCTCAGCACACTATATACAACTTTTCAATGGTGCGCATTCCGTTCCAGAAACCTAGTCGGTTTTGTGAAAAGCATTTTACGGATTCTTGCGATTTTTCTGGAAAATAAGGATGGCTTATTTTTTCTACGTTTCGACCGTTTAAACACCTTTATTCTTAGGCTGCGCTTCGGGAGTGTTTTCTTCAGACTGGTCTATCTTATACCTTTTGCTTTTTCAACTCCTTCTGGTTTTTGTGTTTTTCATTTAGATCGAGATCTTATTTCATCAGGTTCTTAAACTCTTTTTTTGGTGCGTCATTTATACCCGCTGGCTGGACCTTTGACGATCCTTGCTGACCTTCGTTAGTGCCTTTGTTACTGGAGCAATTATTTTTAGAATTTCCTAGAATAGGGAATGAGTGATAACTGCCGGCGGAGCTATGTTTGTCGTTAGAAGGCTAATGAAATCTGCGTTGAGCCAAGCCTTCGGTCTATGCTGTTTCATCACTGACTGACTAAGGGGAATTTTTGTGGTGGTTCCCATCCATTTGGCCGATGAATTAAGGCAAGATCCCACATCCGTAAATTTTTGACGATATTATGACTATTCAACCTAACATTGATTTAAAAAATACCCAACTGAAACGGGTATAATACTCATTTCATGTTAACTTTTTTTATTTGGTGGGGCTATATAATCTCTACCCCCATCCCCCCGAATGTCTTCACCATCGTATGTTCTTAAGCCAGGAGCACTGTCTACGTCCTGGTCTCGTCTCGTCCAACTTCGATCTTACCCTCTATTATGAGTTGAAGGAAATGATATCTATCTTATCTAATTACATCACCAAGATAGACAGTTTTCGGCTTGTTAATGGCTTCGTTTATCTCACGTTCCCCGCTCATCGACGCCAAACTTCCAAGTTTCCAAGGTATCGACAGTTTAAGATATTCGTAACATTCTTTGAGATATAGTTAGCACCGACTTTCTATCGTCCGTCGGCAAATTCAAACAAAAATATAACTTCCAGATCATAGTTTACCACCTTTAGTCCAGACAAATTATTATATGCATTTAATATTTTTTTTGACTACCAAAAATGAGATGTTTTGACCAAATAATGCTTCAAATATAATGTGCAGTATAATTTTGAATTACCTTCCGCTAATGAACTTGCTTTTTTATCCTTAAAAGTAGAAAAAAGTTTCAATTATATTGCTTAATATTTCGTATAAATATAACCGTCTAACAATTTTAACTGTACTAATGCCCAAGTATCAATTTTCAAGTTTTAAACGGATTGATTTACGACGTTGCAATCCTGTTGTAAAAATACCGGCATGTGCCTTATCTAAGGGACAGGACTTGTAAATTTTTAGTTTAGTTGTATCTTCACAACTAGCTTTTTATAGATGTGCATTGTGCATTGCTTTAATTTTAAGTTGTGTTGAAATTTCATTGTGATTAGATATAATAATTTTAGTATTTTTTGTTGTTTGTTTTTTTGAAACTGTTTATTTGTTTATAAAGAAAATGTTTAGACCATGGGAAAAATCGCCTACAGTTTTTCGTGCATGGGAGCAAGAGAACCCAAGTAGTAGTAGAGAAAGTATAGTAGTCAACAATCTTTTAAGTGTAAGTGATACAAAAAACAATGACACTGAGACTGTAACTGTAGAAAAGTGTTTAAGACTTCCAAAGAAAAGAATTGTTTTGAATGAACAATCTAAGAGCATTTGTATGAACGTTTACAAAAATCTTCAAAATGATCCTGAAAATAGTTGTAAAGGCAGTATTATAAGAAAAGCAGCCTTTCTAACCGGAATTCCGTATTCTACTATGCGCGACATCGTGAAAAGTGGTGTTAAAAAGAGAAAAAGAAGATCGGATGCTGGAAAACCTAAACAAATTAATATCGTGACTGCTAAATGTTTAAGGAATTTGGTTTACGAGGAATACAAAAAAAATGTAATACCAACAATTGATATTATATACACCAAGCTTGTTGCGATGGGAAGGAGCTGCCCTAAAACCACTTTACGTAGGAGGCTGAAAAAACTTGGGTTCAAATACAAAATCGTTGATAAACGGGTGGCTATTATGGAAAGTAAGAGGATAGTACACTGGCGTTTAGATTATTTAAAAAAAATTCAAGAATATCGAGACCAACAGCGGACTATATATTATTTAGACGAGACATGGTATGACACGCATGATACCGCTAGTAAGGGTTGGACTGATGGTTCACTTCGGTGCCAGTTAAAAGGAGTACCTCCGAATAAAGGTTCTCGGATGATTATTGTGCACTGTGGATCTTCAAATGGTTGGGTGCCAAATGGGTTAATGCTTTGTGGAAAAAAAATAGAAAAATGTAGTGTAGATTATCATCAGAATATGAATTCTACTATATTCGAAGAGTGGTTTAAAAATACATTACTTCCCAATATAACACCGGGCAGTGTGATAGTTATGGACAATGCTAGTTACCACTCAAGGCTTCTCAAAAAAATTCCCAACAGTTCATCTTCAAAACAGGAACTAAAAGATTTCCTCACAGAAAATGATTTGTATTTTGAAGACAACTATAATAAGAAACAGTTACTTGAAGTACTTCGTACTAAAACTTATAAGAAACAATATATACTGGACACTATTGCAATACAACATGGCCATAATGTTTTGAGGTTACCACCTTATTTTTGTATATTCAATCCTATCGAACTTATTTGGGGACAAATAAAAAAACGGATTCGGAGGAAGAATAGTTTTCCAAAATTTGACGCGAAAGTGGTCGATTTAATTCGACATGAACTATCAGAGATTACAAGTGCCGACTGGAAAAAAGCAGTAAACCGTGTAGTGAAAGTAGAAAATGAGTACAGAAGACTAGGACAATTATTTTCAAACAGTGGACAACTTATTATTAATCTGGTGGATAGTGACGATGATGAGAGCTCGCCTGCAGGAGAAATATTTTAGAAAAGGTACGCTAACATGATGATTATTTCAGTTAAAACAACTCGGTTTTTCATTATAAATTGCTAACTTTGTTTAAAACAATATTTTCTTAAATGTAAAATACTTTTCCACAGTTTCGTCTATGTACGTCATCGTTAAACGCTAATGGGGATTTTCAACGGTTCTCATATATTTCAGACACTTATGATATGTCGTATAATTTTAATATATCTACATCATACGTTATTGGTATATAGTATATACCAATAACTGTACATACAAAAGACGTATGACATAGATATCTTAAAATTGTATGACCCATAACAAGTGCCTGAAACAAATAGGAAGCGTTAAAAAGCCCTATAGTAGATGCCGTTGTATCAGCTAGTATTTTTTCCGACAGGGTGGTAGAGTGATAATTTTTTTGCGTTTCACTTTTAACCATTTAAAAAACAAAGAAATATAACGTTTTGCTTGTTTTTCCAAAATCAGATTTTCTGCTCTTTGACTATTAATATACACATTACACATTGTTATGTTATGATTTAATACTTGTATCAAAAAATTTGTGTCGATGAAAAAACGAATATCGCGATACGTCCCTGGATATCGGTTACTCGAATTTCATAACATACAAATATTATCTGTTTGACTTTGCCGACGGACGAAATATCATTGGACTCGACTATACCTACCTTTCAAATAGCTCACGTGTATTCAGACTGCTAACTTTTAGAGTTCACGCTTCAAGTGCATACAAAACAATGGAATACATGTAGCACTTTACGTTTCTTTGTAAATCGAGCGATCTATCGCTTTTACAGTTGCCCATGTACTAGAACTTAAAATTTTAGTTTTTTCTGTTCCGTATTCATTTAAGTGTGCTGGTTGCGTTGAATTTCGATTTACCACCAATGTTTTCGTTTTTCGTTATTAATTTCTAAGCCCAATAGTTCTTCTTCAGTTGATATTTTGTTAAAGTAAACGTTGCAAGTCCTCGGAACTGTCTGCAATTATAACCGTGTCATGGTACTATGTTAAATTATTTATTAATATTCCATTCACTTTTAATGTCATGTTCGTGATGATGTTCTTAGTGGTATTGAATAATTTTTAGATCTTTGGATCTCTTCTTTCCAGTATATTCAATATGGTACCAGTTTTGATATATGTAGCTTTTGGTTGGTCTCTGCACTTCTGTAATAAAACTGATAGTGCATACAAAGCATATCTAATTCCCAATAGAAAACCCATTTGTAGTTAACTCAGGTCTTGCTCGCACTAGGTCCCAAAGTTTTACATAAATACTACCGCAAGCTTTATTGTGTTCTTAAAAGATTAAGTAAATATTTTTTCATTTTTTTCCTATAATAACTCCATCTTTAGGCGACTCAAGAGCAACTCGATTTATGGCGCAGACAAAACAAAGAGCAAAATGAATGGAAAGTAAACGAATGTCGTCAGCTCATAACTATCATGCGCGAAGTACTCTTTCAACAGATGAGATTCAGTGGAAATAACCATGCTTATTATATGCCACAAAATTCATTTATTAATGAAGTTTTGGACAAACGTCAAGGTTTACCTATAACATTAGCAATTGTATTTGAAGGTGTAGCTAGAAGATTAGGTCTAAGATGTGAGCCTATCAGTTTCCCAGCGCATTTTTTGCTTAGGTAAGTATTTACTTACTTAACTTAATAAAATTTATTTGTTCTCGCATCTGTTATCGATATCTGTTTTCTTGTTGTGATTAATTTATATTAATAAAAATGAATCGCCGAAATGTTTGTACTGGCATCACTTCAGAATGACTGCAGCAAATTGATAATTATTTTTTGTTGTGTTTGTTGTCACGCGAAGGTTTGTGTAAAAAATAATTGTCGAAAATTATACAGAAAGACTTCAAAAACAGTTTTTCTGTCATTTTAAATCGCAATATAGCTAATAGATGGCGCGATACTGTGACTAACAAAGGAAGCTATGATTAACAAAATAAATGTCAGTATTGATAGATTGGCAACAGCAATACCTCACTGAATTTACAAGTTCTCGTTCGATCCCCGAAGTTAATCAGTGCCGGTTGCGGTTAGCACTTAAATGGGTGACCGCTTGGGAACACCGCATGTTGTTGCCATGTGAAACCTTCCTTCGCCGAAACGGCTAAATCAAGTTTTATGAAATTTTACATGTGTATTCTGTAGGTCTGAGAATAAGTTTTTTCATACCACTAAGGGATAAGAGTGGTTCACCCCAAACATTTTTTTAAATTTTTTGTACAAAATCTTTTATTTTTATTTTTTTATGATGTGACATTAAAAAATACATACATCCCTTAATTTACACCCTAATATTATCAATCCCTATTTTTAATTGCTATATTTTAGTGTCAAAGAGTTAGTTGCCATAGTTCGAAACGGCTTCACCCCTTTTTATGAAATTTTCTATGTATATTCAGTAGATCTGGTAATCGGTCGTAATCTATTTTTCATACCTTAAGGGGTAAGAGTGGTTCATCCCAAACATTTTTTTCATTTTGTGTGTAAAATTTTTTATTTTTATTTTTTATGATGCTGCATTAAGAAGTACAATAGCTCTTCATTTTCACCCTTCTGTGACTAACCGCTATTTTTTAATAGCCATATTACTGTGATAGAGTTAGTTGCCGTACTCCTCCGAAACCGCTTCACCGATTTTGGTGAAATTTTATATTTATATTCGGTAGGTATGAGAATTGGTCGTGATCTTTTTTCATACTTCTAAGGGGTAAAGGTGGTCCATCCCAAACATTTTTTTTTAATTTTTTGGACATTTTTATTTTTATATGATATGGCATTAAACAATACATACAACCCTTAATTTTCGCCCTTCTATCACCAACCCTTATTTTTTAATAGTAAAATTAGTGTGACAGAGAAGTTATTAGTGTCACAGAGTTTGTTTTCACACTCCTTCGAAACAGCTTTACAGATTTTTATGAAATTTTATATGTATATTCGTTTGAATATACTGTAACGTAAGTTGTCTGTATGAGAAGTGGGGAATTGAAAGAGAAGAATAAAATCCAGGTGCAAGTTAGTTCACCTTGCAAACCGGCGCTCAGGTGTTTTGAAATACATCGGTGGGCTTTGGGACGCGGGTTAATATATTTGGGATGGGGGTACATTTAAAAAAAATTGGGGGAATTGAAATGTACCACTGAAAATGAGGGAATTTGGTACTAAACGAGAAAGGAAAAATAAAGGGCGCTACCTAGTCCTTTGTCGAGGGATGAGGAAAACTCGACACTTGACCTATAAGAAGACACTAAACCTCTAAAAAACCAATATGCATATATAGTAAAAAAAAAAGAGAAGCGAATACACTTATATTGTCGCTCTACATTTCTGTCAGATTTACCTTCCAATTAGTTACAAAAAAAGGAAGATTATGAGAGAGTAATAAACAAATAATTGCTACAAATTAACAACTTTTATTTCTCAAAAGTTCCACCTGGGAAAAGTTTTTATAGAATGTCAACACATTAGTAAAGTAGACATAAATCAAACATGGAAAATAGCAAAAAAAAACAAAAATCTAAATAGAAATGAAATATATGGCAATAAAGTAAAAACGGATTCACTACGGTTTTCCACATTATTCAGGATCCGCTTAAGAGTTTTCTGTAGTGATCTTTACAGGACCTTATGATGCCCTGATCCATTGGTTGCAGAACAGATGTGCAATTTGGGAGCCAAAAAGAAGTTGAATGTTTTAAACTATTAACTTGCGGATGGGCTGTACAATTGTCAAAAATTAAAAGAATCTTTCGATGTCCCACATCAAAAGTTCTCCACTAAAAATATCTGCCGTCATAAGATTTTTTATTAAACTTCTATGTGACAGGAATCTGATTCACATGTTTTTGAGATTTCCCAATGACGACTAACTTCCTTTTTTCGGAACCGGACATGTTGACACACACTAGTACAGTTACCCTTTCTTTTAATAACTTACCACCTATACAACGTTCATTTTTGAATTTAAGGGTCTTATCTGGAGTAAGTTTAAAAAAAAGTCCCAGCTCGTCAGCATTACTTGAAAACATTATCGTCACCGAAATTTTGTCTTATTGTGGGGCATGACTTCAACCAGTTGTCGGTGGCTTCCTTGGAAACATTCTTTGCTGCACCGCAAATGTTTCCCCACGTAATTTCTTGCCTGGCCTTAAAACGGTTCGTCCACCCACTCGATGCTTTAAAATTCTCATCACCACCTAACGCCTGCCACCTTATTGGAACATTCGCAGACCTGTTTACGGTAAACCATTTGACCATTGCAGTATCGAGTTCTTTATTAGTTGTGGCACTTAGTTTTTTCGATTTACCGGAAAAAGACTAACCTGCTTCGAAAATTTTGTGTTTATTTTTGAGCATGGTAGATAGAGTAGAACTTGAAATTCCTCTTTCACGACTTCTGCCTTCTTCTTATCGTTCTCTACATCTTTAAGGATGTTAATTTTTTCTTCTAAAGTAAATGCTTCTCTTTTAGGAGTCATAGTGTGTAATCTATGGGACTATGTAATCTAAAACACAACTTTCAAGACGCCAAACCAGAATAAGGAAACAAACGATAAACATATACGACAAAACAAGTGTGAAATGAAATTCTGGTGAAATTTGTTTCATTTGTAATGATTTTAAGCCTCTTTACGTAGTTTATTAGGTGCGGATGGTCAAATCCCTACACTGACACTTGTGGATCATAAATTGTAAATTTCCGACGACACAATATTGGTCGGTAGATTAAACAGAAGTTTATCGCGGGCGGCAGTTAAAAAGGGTATTTATTTATAGCCACGGCTGGAGTAAAAACGTAAAAAACACGTTTTTCGATCTTATTTTCTCTCGTTATAACCAAATTTGCCTCGCTATAGAGGGTTATAGTTCAATAGAAATTTCACGGGACATCTAATGCACCTCGTTATAAGCGAATCCTCGTAATATCCGTGTTCGTTAAAGAAGGACTATACTATATATATATATATATATATATATATATATATATATATATATATATATATACAGGGTGGTCCGTAAGTAATTGTACAAAAAGAAACCGTAGATTCTACACTTTAAAATATTACGATTTAAGTCAAGTTGCTTTAATAAAATGTTAATATTAAGAAAGATACAGGGTGTTAAAGTGGAAATTTAAAATTTTATTTTTCGCTATAACTTTTATGTTTGTCCACATTTATATATAAAAATTTACAACTGGGTACTATTAAATATCAGAAATTATAATTTGATGCAAACTTTGATGTAGCTGATAGAGGGCGCCACATATGCCATATATGTGGCATGTATTTGCACGTAACTTTTTTGCTCTTTAAACTACCGGTATTTTTAATAAAAAATATTAAAGATACGTTATTTCAACAAAAAAAGGTATACTTGTTTATATCTTAAAAACTCAACAGTTTTCGAGATAATTGCATTTTAGGAATCAACTACATAATTCTGATTTATCGCAATTACTCCAGTCAACGAAAGAAAATTAAAGAAAAACGTCACTACTTCTGAATGTTGGTATAAAATACCTTTAATAAAGTTCATATTTAATGAATTATTAAATAAAATAAATATATCAGTAGAATAAAATAATATGATTTGATAAATAACAGAATAATTGGATTTTCCATCAAACATTTTACGTTTTGTATTAAATTAAAGTCATAATCAAAACATTTTATTTACAAACCAAATTAAGAAATAGTTAAAGTAAATAAAATTAAAGTTTTTGTCAAAGTAAATGTTCAGTATGTCCACCATTTTCTTTAATTCATTTGTCAATACATTCGATAATATATCGTCTCATATTAAATAGAGTCATTGGTTCTAAAGAAATTGCTGCAGTATTGATTATAAGTGTTATAAGTATAATAATAAGTAATTTTTTGAAATGTTTATGAATTAAATAATTATATTAATATCTCACCGCAAAAATATGACTACTACAAACAATCTAATGTTCAGGAAAGTTGTATTTAAATACTGTCTCACTCCGCTTTCACTGTAATGTAATGGTTTACCATCTTGTAGAAACCACATATTTTGCCTTACATTTGATGACAATTCTTCTAATATATTAATAAAACCATTTTATAAAAAATGTAAATAAATCTCGTGATTCAAATTGCTAGGTAATTCGCATATCCGTAAAAAATAATTAGCAATGGTTCCAAACCATAGTACATGCATTTTACATATGAATTTTGAATGATGTTTTACGGATATGCGAATTACCTTGCAATTTGAATAACGAGATTTATTTACATTTTTTATAAAATGGTTTTATTGATATATTGGAAGAATTGTCATCAAACGTAAGGCGAAATATGTGGTTTCTACAAGATGGTAAACCATTACATTACAGAGAAAGCGGAGTGAGACAGTATTTAAATACACTTTCCTGAACGTTGGATTGTTCGTTGTAGTCATATTCTTGTGGTGAGATAATAATATAATTATTTAACTCATAAAAATTTCAAAAAATTACTTATTATCATACTTAAAACAACTATAATAAATACTGCAGCAGTTTGTTTAGAACCAATGATGCTATTTAATATGAGACGATATTTTATGGAATGTATTGACAAATGAATTAAAGAAAATGGTGGACATATCGAACACTTACTTTGACAAAAAGTTTAATGTTATTTAGTTTAACTATTTCTTAATTTGGTTTGTAAATAAAATGTTTTGATTATGACTTTAATTTAATACAAAACGTAAAATGTTTGATGTAAAATCCAATTATTCTGTTATATTATCAGATCCTATTATTAATTATCCTACTGATATATTTATTTTACTTAATATTTCGTTAATTATTGACTTTATTAAAGGTATTTTATAACAAAATTCGGAAGTATTGATGTTTTTATCTATTTTTCTTTCATTGCCTGGAGTAATTGCGTTAAATCAGAATTATGCAGTTGATTTGTAAAATGCGATTATCTCGAAAACTGTTGAGTTTTGAAGTTATTAACAAGTATACCTTTTTTTTGTTAAAATAACGCATCTTTAATATTTTTCATAAAAAATACCGGTAACTTAAAGAACAAAAAAGTTAAGTGCAAATGTATGCGACGTATGTGGCATATGTGGCGCCCTCTATTAGCTATATCAATGTGTTCATCAAATTATAATTTCTAATATTAAATAGTACCCAGCTGTAAATTTTTTTATATAAATGTTTACAAACATGAAAGTTATAGCGAAAAATGAAATTTTAAATTTCTACTTTACCACCCTGTATCTTTTTTAATATCAACATTTTATTAAAGTAAGTTGGCTTAAATCGTAATATTTTAAAGTATAGAATCTGCGGTTTCTTTTTGTACAATTACTTAAGGACCACCCTGTATATATATATATATATATATACATAGGTTTCAAAAAAGGTATCCCCGTCTCTAGGGTAGGTAAAAAACTGAAAAATAATTGGGGTTTGCTTCATTACTTCATAATTTTCAAATCAAAATATTCCGAAAACGGTACACAGTATCGAGTTTTACCAAGAGTACCTTTTTCGTGTAAAATTGAATGATGTATACTCTTAAAAAAGTTATATTGACTAATACTTAGAACAATCCGTGTAACTAGCGCCCTCTATGAGAATCAGATATAAAAACAAATTCATGGGATGTATCAGCTTGCAAAACATATTCGTATAAAATTTCATTACAACGTTGCCAGTAGTTTCGGCAAAATCGTGAAAAATGCGTAATTTTTTTTCTTCAACGCCCTGTATCTTGAAAACGGGTCCCGTTACAAAAATTTTTTACTAAGCAAACCCCAATTATTTTTCAGTTTTTTACCTACCTCAGAGACGGGGTTACCTTGTTTTGTTTTGAAACACCCTATATATATATATATATATATATATATATATATATATAGTATTATACTTTTATATAATAAAGATCCCTCAGAATAGTTTAACAATGTATGAGTACATAATTAAAATTATTGAGTATGTATTAAATCACTTGAAATCATATTGCTCTTCGTCTATTACCGCAAATACCTGTATCAGCCTGTGTAATGGATATTCCACCAAAATGAAAAAAGTACAAGAGAACAAACATAATAAAAAATTATTTTCTAAATTATAAATGAAAATACTAGATTTTTAGAATATTACAACTCAGTCCTCACATCGAGACAGAACATATTTGTTCATAACTTAAGTGTACTTATAGATATATTATGTTAGACATTATCGAATTTCTAGGTTTTGTGAAAGCGTTGATCCTGAATCCGACTGGTACTATATTGACGTTTTTAATGGAGGTCAAATAGTGGGAAGAGGAGCTTGTCCGCATAGCAGATTTTCAGGCTCCAGAGATCTCATTCCGGTTGCCACAGCTGTACAAGTGATTGAACGTATGGCAAACAATTTGGAAGTTTCAGCCAGACAACATGCTCATCCCAATGGAAAGATAACCCGTTTAAGGTGATTTTCGTCAATTCTTCAATGTGACATAAATTTTTCCTACTTATTTTTTTCATTATATTTTGTAGGTCAAGTTTGGAGTTGTTGAAATTAGTGAATCCAAGAGATATTTCAGCTTTAGTCAGCTTAGCTAGATTATATATGCTACACAACATGGATACTAAATCTTTGGAAACCTTTTTGTTATCTCAGGAGTTTGAAGTCCCCGAGCAAGCTCAAAGGTATGTATATGGAAGAATAAAACGACTTTAATTTTCACTACTTACTAAATGGTTATTACCGTAAGTACATAAACTGATTTTTCTTCTTCGATCCATAAAGTTACTCGATCGTTAGAGAGAGAAAGAGATACCTATACGAAGAGGAGTACAACAAAGATGTTTACTACCCCCCTACACTTCAGGAGAGATGTTTAAAGAGGCACTAGAAGACATCAATGAAGGTATATCAATTGACGGAACACTAATGAATAATTTAAGATATGCAGACGATACAATACTCCTTGCAGACATCAGGGTGCAAATTTTGGTAGATCGCACTAAACAGTAATGCGAGAGGTATGGAATGGCTCTGAACACAAAAAAAATGGTGATTGTCAGTAAATACAAGATTGAATTCGAAACAACCTACGTTGAAGAAAACGCTTTAGAGATACAATTACTTGGGATGTGAGCTAAATGAACAGTTGGACCGCAGCCTTGAAATAAAACGACTCATTGCGATAGCCAGAAGCGCTTTCATGAATATGAAAGCAGTAGGATGCAATGGAAAACTGGGAATAGAAATTAGAACTATAGTATTGAGATGCTACGTATTCTCCTTTTATATGGAGTTAAAGCCCGGACAATTACGGACGCAAATGAAAAAAGACTTTCCAGCTTTGAGATTTGTGGTATTATCGAAGGATGTGAAAAATATCGTGGATATAACACGTAACAAACACGGAAATATTAAGAAAGATAAAAAAGAAATACTCAACACTATAAAGGAAAGAAAAATAAAAAAAAGTTAATTAAAAAACAATGTGGATGCTTTAAAAACGGCTTCGATCCAGAAGAGCAAAAATCTGGAAGTAAATTTAAATGAAGACAATGAAAAAAAGTTCGTACTAAAAATTAATAAAAATTGCTTATGTTTGTGAGTGATAAATGTGTCAAAAGTGAACACAAAAAATATAAGCTAACCTTGCAAATAAAAAATGTGAATCATAATTTAGATGATTAATAACTTTTGTGTAAAACTTTTTGACTAGTAGTACATTATGGTAAATCTAACACTAGCCATCTACTTTTATTCTATTTTATTTTTAGAGTACTTCATATGCTTCGAGATTACGAAGCGCATCATTCGCGCAACGACCTGGGTCTTTTTAGTCAAGTAGAAGCAGCACAACGTACGCCAAATTTACATTATGCCGTAGGAATGGTGATGAAGCATATGACTTTAAATTACAAATGTGTTATCTACGACTGGGATCCGGTATGCTTAGCAGCTGCCGAATGGCAAGCCGAAAATAATGTGGACAAATTGCAGCTCAAAGATGAACAACCCTTTTATAACGTTCTGGTGGAAGATGGGTCTCATAGATACGTGGCTCAAGGTAAAACTTCGTTATAAATAAGTATCGGTAGTTACGCGTGTGAAATACTCATCGTAGTTTGATATTGTAGATTATCACCATTCAGCCAATCGCGTCCACAATATACTGGCCGCTTGTAGCCAGTTTACCGCTAGATCTAATCGGTGATCGTAGTCGGCTTCTTTTATAGTTTCTGGGCCTTCATTCCATGATTTGTATTGTCTATCGTCCATCTTGTGTTCTCGTCCTTGTCAAAGTGCCCTGTCCAGTTCCACATTATCGTCGTGATTCGATTATGTCTTGAACACCTGCATTTGCACGTTAATGGCTCGTTGTGTTATCTGCGGATATTTTCGTTAGTATTAAAGTCTCTGCTCCATAAGTTTGTAGGGGCAAAACACATTGATTATAAACCTTTCGCTTGAGACTGGAAATTGAACTTCTTGGAATAGAATATGGCTTAGTTTGCCAGAAGCTGCCCATGTCAGACTTATTCGTTTTTGTATTTCATTCGTTTGATTGTTTCTGTCATTTTGATCTCGTGTACCAGATATTTGTAAGTGTCTGTTGTATGGTATTTTTGTCAGTAAAGTACATCCCAGAGGTACTTTTCAGTGCGTCATTAATTATGACGTCATAGAATGAATTAGGTGTGTCGAGAATTATTTCATATAATTATTGAAGAATCTGACAGATGCCAGGATTGTACTTAGACACAGGGGGTAATCCCGTAAATTAATAAAAATAAAAAGTAAACAATATTGTTTATTCAATTTATAAATATGGAAAAATTTTAAATTGACGACAAAATGATTCATTTATTGAATTTTTGTATCTTCTTCTCAAGGGGCTGTCTGCTTGTCGAAATTTGGCAATCATCACAGCGATTTTAAATTTTGAGACAGCGGCTCTAAATAAGGAAATTCGAGGAAATACGAAACCGTACAGGAATTAGAGATACTCTCTCAGATAGAATACAAGAAAGGCAATTACAATGGTATGGTCACGTGATGAGAATGGAGGAGGAGCGGTGGCCAAAGCAAGCCTTAATGTATGTTCCGCCAGAAAGAAGGAAAAGGGGAAGACCACTAAATTCCTGGAGAAGAGAAATTACAAAAACAATGCAATATAGAGGCTTAGAAGAGGGAGATTGGAGAGATAGGAAAAGATGGAGGCTGAAATGCGGGAAGCGGCAATCGCCGTAGGACCCCCGTTATATGATGATGATGGCTCTAAATAAGTCGTTATTACATGAGTTATGTCTCCTTCCTATGAATCTTTTTCTCCTAATTTTTCCTTGCATAATGACCTGGAGTGTTAGATATTTCTCTCCTCTCATCACATGACCCATATATCCCACTTTTCTTCTTTTAATTGTTAGTATATCTCTTTTCTTATGCATACGTCACATTACTTCAACGTTGTTTCAGTCTCCACACGTGAATTTTCTTCAGTGTCCACGCTTCCATCCCGTATTATAATACGGATAGCACGTAGCACCTCAGCAGTCGTATTTTTAACTTAAAGTTTAAGTTTCTACAGCAGAGAAGCCTTTGTATTCTTGTAAATGCGCTTCTGGCCTGTTTGATTCTGATTCGTATGTCTTGAGAGCTGTCATTGTTTTCATTAATAGTTGTATCTAGTAATTTGAATTCTCTTAACATTTCAATAGGCTGATTCTGTACATATATCTTACGAATGTCCTGAGTTGTATTTGTTATTATCATATATTTCTTGCTCTGTTAAGTGATGGTCCATATTCTTCTTCGCTTACTGCGGTCACCAAATTAAGAAGTATCTGTAGGTCTTCATGTGATTCGGCTAGAAGAACTGTATCATCAGCGTATCGCAGGTTATTTATGATCATGTCATTAATTCTAATGTCTACGTTTCGTTAACCCATTGCCTTAATTAATATGTCTTCCGAGTATACATATTAAATAATACTGGTTTATGTATACACCCTAGTCGAACAACTCTTTGTGCTTCTATTTCTTCTATTATTATATCTTTTATTCTCACTACTGTTTTTTGGCCATAGTATAAGTAACACAAAAAAGACTGTTTTCAAAAATTTATTAGGTAATTTTTTTACTTTTAGCAGATAAAATTATAGAAAAATACTGCCGGTGGGGATGTTTTCATAAAGATATTTCCTTAGACAACTCCATGGTCAAATATTTTGGTCATAACTTAAATAAACAGTTAATTAAAAAGAAGCCAGTCAGATGTGAATATAAGAATTGGATGATAACTGGTTCCACTGGATATGATTATGGTTTTCACGTTTATTGCCAAAAAAAAAACAAATGGTACTATTAAAATAGACCACTTGAAGCTAAAACAGTAATTGATATTTTGAAACAGTTGCCTGAACCATCAACAAATGAAATTTTTTCGATAAACATTTCATGACATATCAACTAATGATATATCTAAAACAAAAAAATGTAAAGGCAACAGGAACTGTAAAATGTCCAGTAATGGATAAAGCTAATGAAGAGTAAGCTAATGAAGAAAAATGCATATGATTATAGATTTGACAAAACTAATGAAATTTTGTGTGTGAAATGGTATGACAATAGTGTTCTGTTATCCAATTATGATACCATTGAACCACTAGGTTAAGTAAATACAAAGGTCGCAATATGGTGAAAAAACTATATGTATTGAATGGTGTTTTGAAAAATACCATACAAATACCTAATGTCCCCATTAAGCTAAAATAAACAGTAAATAAAACAATTTTATTTTCATAGTAATTTTCAACTTACTTCACGAACAGCAGAAATTGGTAATAATGTTTGTCTAGCTTCCTTTTCCAATTGAAAATATTTAAGCAAATTTAATATTAGAAATTGTTCTTTTTCCATATATCTTGTCATCTTGTACAAATACAAATAAAACCACAATCACAATACTATGTAAAACAAAATACAAAATAACATTATACAAAAAAATACCAAAGAATATAAATATATTATGTAGCGTCTATATTTGCAAATACTGACCTGAACGACAGCCGTCACTTGCTGTTTGAACACTTCGAAAGAAGTGTATTTAAGGGGTACCGTACCTTCTTGAATTTTACGAAAGCTTGTCGAGCTTGCTAAATGCGATATTTTACTTCCCTGTCCGATGCCCAGTCTTCAAAAAGCCACGATCCCAGGTATTTAAATTTACTCATTCTTTCAATGAACTTAGTATTCAGTGTTATGGTGGAGTTTTCAAGGGCATCCAAGTTTCTGGAGATGATCATGAATTTGGTCTTTTTGGTATTAATCTCTAATCCCATTCGCTTACTGTATTTTCCGATTATAGTGACAAGTTGTTGAAGATCGACTATGTTATCACAAATTAAGACACCATCATCAGCATATCGTATGTTGTTGATCAATACTCCATTCACTTTGATTCCCATCTCTGCATCCTCCAAAGACTCTTGAAATATGACTTCCGAATAAATGTTAAATAAAAGAGGGGAAAGCACACATCCCTGTCGAACGCCCCTTCTTATATGTATGGGTTTGGATATAGAATTGTCCATTTTTAACTGTGCCGTTTGATGCCAGTACAAGTTTTCAATGCATCTTATGTCTTTTTGGTCTATATCAACTTTCTTGAGGATCTGCATTAACTTGTGGTGTTGGACACGATCAAACGCTTCTTGGTAATCTAAAACACATCCTTCCTCTGATCGTAACAATTTTGGACCAGCACCTGTGTTGCTACTATTGCTTCTCGTGTTCCTAAACCTTGCTTAAACCCGAACTGGGAATCACTGATGTCCCATTCACATATTTTGTATAATCTTTGATGTAGTATTTTTAAGAATATCTTTAAAGTGTGACTCATCAGGCTAATGAGTCTGTGATCCTCACATCTTTTTGCATTGACTTTCTTGGGTAGGGAAATAAAGGTAGAGCGTAACCACTGTTGAGGATAGCAGCCAGTGTCATAAATTAAATTAAATATTTTGTGTAGTGCTGAAATTCCCCTTTTATCCAGTAATTTGAGTATTTCTGACGGGATTTCATCTGGTCCAGGTGCCTTATTGTTTTTTGAATTTAATATTGCCTTTTCTATCTCCTCTTTGGTGATTGAAGGGCCAGTCAGCTGGTCGTCTGTATAATCTTCACTCATGGGTCTTTCGTCATGGAAGAGCTCCTGGATATAATTTTCCCATATACCAATTTTCTCCTTTTCACCCAGCACTATCTGGTTATCCTGATTTACTATGGTAGTTGGTCTTCGTTTTCTGTATATTCCAGCAGTCTCCTTAAGCTTTTTATGTAAATTACGGTCGTCGTGCTGTCGCTGTAAATGTTCTAGATCGATACATTGTTGCTTAAGCCATTCATTTTTTGCCATTCTTATTTTTTGCTTTTATTTGCCTGTTAATGTTTTCATACATATTGCTGCCATCTTGGTCATTCTTGTGTCTTCGTCGTTCTTCCATTAGTAATAGTATTTCTTCTGTCATCAATTTTTGCCTTCTGTTATTTCGTTTGTACCCTAAGTTGTTTTTCATGATGTCTGTTACAGCACTTGTAATCGTATTCCATGTTGGTGTTACATCTTCGGCAATGTTTGTCGTCAATATTTGAATTTATGCGTTTATTTCATTGCTTATTTCTGCTTGTATCATTGGGTCTTTCAGTTTATCCAGTGCTATCTGTTGTTGAGTTTCAGGCTTGTTCTTGCATGAAAGAGCGATCTTTATGATGGCCACTAATAGTACGTGGTCAGAAGGGACATCTGCTCCAGGGTATGTGCAAGCTCTTTTGACAGTTGTGCTGAATCTACCGTTGATAAGAATGAAGTCTATCTTATTTCTTATTATGTTCTGAGCTCTATCGGCTGGAGATTTCCAAGTATAAAGGTGACGGGGGTGGAGTTGGAACCATGTGTTGGTAACTCTCATGTTTCCTTCTTGACAAAATTGTATAAGTCGGTCGCCCCTTTCGTTCCTTGTTCCAAGACCATAGGGTCCAACTACGTCTTCAAAGCTGCCCTTCCCT